CCCTTCGCCACCGGAGCATCCCCAACGGCCTCAACGGTGAGCTTCTCCCCCTCCTATCCCCCTGGCAGCGACCTTGCCCTGTGTCCCCCTTGGCAATGGGGTGAGAGATGCCTGGGGAGGGGCGTCCTCGCCATCCCCACCCCTGCCCCGTCCTTGGTGCCCCCAAGGAAGAGCAGCCCCGGGGGGCAGGGAGGGGCTCCTGTGTGCGGGAGCGGGGTGGTGGTGGTGGTGGTGGTGGTCGTAGTGCTCCTTGGCTGGGTTATTGGTGTCTGGGGCTGAGGGTTGGAGCCTTTCTTATCTGGAGGGTTTGTGTTTTGTTTGGTTCTGGTGTTTTGCCAAAAACCAGCCTGTGTTTTCAGGGTTAAGTAAACACCGATCCAATCTCTTCCTCCTCTCTCTCTCTCTCTGTCTCACCCATCTCTAAATATTTTGTTTTACTTTTGGCTTGTTTGTCTGCTAGTTTGATGAGATCGATAAAGAGCCCGGGTGAGATGTTGGAAGCACCTGGTGAAGGTGCCGGTTGCCCCGCAGAGCATCACCTGTTAGCTCCACGGGGCAGGTTTGGTTGTGGCGTGCTCAGCAGTTTTGGAGCGGTGCAGCTCGGCTCCCCCTTCATCCCCCTGCTGTGCTTCAGAACCAGGTTTATTTGTAGAGAGGCGGTTGCTCTCGAAGGGACGCTGTGCTCACAATTTTGTTCAGCCTCGTCATTAAAGTTTGAAACAAGCTCCACTGTGAAATCGTGCCAAGCCTCCTCTGACAGTTTGTATTCAAGCGGAGTTTCTCCTGTTGTAGTGATCAGGCATTAAAATAATAATGCTGGGATGTCTTTTAAATGGAGATTTTTCTTCTCTTGTGAAACCACCAAGACCAAATACTTGACTTCTAGAAGGAGTCCTTTGCCCAAGAGGGTTCAATAGGAATCAAACCAGGCATCAACCTAATTAATTGCTGTATATAAGATTCTTTTAACTGTTCTGAATCCTCTTTTCCAACCAGAGAGGACTGTTTGCTGGTTAGGGTACTGGTTGGGGTACCCTTTCCCCTCCTCCAAGCACAGAGATGGGGTGGGAGCCGCAGAGGTTGAGTGGTGGCAGCAGTGGATGTGTTTACCAGACAACCGTGCCTTCAGCTCCCAGAGCTTTTGGTGGTCCTGGTAGTGCTGGTCCTTTTGTGGTGATTTATGGCAAGACCTTATGCCCTAAAAGATCTGAGTGCACGGATAGACAGGGATCGCTGGTTTCAAGGCTGATCCAGTCACCAGATGTTGCAGGGTACGGCAAGCATCTTTAAATGTTTGTTGTTTTTCCCTGCTCTCTCCCCCTCCTGGTGCTGTGTAAATGTGAAGTGTCTGGTTTTTAAATCTGCAGATAGCTTGTGCTCCTGGTGTGGCTTTATTTTCCTAAAACATTGATTGCTCTGTATGGAGGTCTGGAGAGCACTTGGCAGGTATTGAATGTGCTGTTACTGTTTTGGGACAGAAAGGCTTCGCCGTTCTGGTCTGTGAACCTCAGACCATGTCCCTTTTGGGTATCGACAGCTGCCTAGCACAAAGCCAGCCGAATTCATTCCTGTTATCCAGGGCTCTTGTCCATATGGGACACCTCTATGGCACTGTAGGTGTAGGTTCTTCACATGGGATTCAAGTCACCCCTGTCTGCATGAAGAGGGAAGTCTCTGCTTGCAGAGCTCGGTCCTCATTGCTACGGACGGTCCCCAGAAGCACCATTCGGAGGGGACCAAGAGATGGGTCTCATGTCCTACCTTGTGCAGGGTGAGCGTAGGGAGGGGTGGTGGAGCATGTCCAGATGTAGCTGTCTCCATGCTCCTTTTCTCCTGCTCCTGTGGAATATGGGCTCAAGCATTTCAGACATGACCTTAGTTTTTAGTGACTTCTGGTTCTGGGGTGCCTGGGGAGCTTTCAGACATGACCTTAGTTTTTAGTGACTTATGGTTTTGGGGTGCCTGGGGAAGATGGTCTCTGTGGGAAGCATTGATGCTAGGTCTTCGCTGTGAACCTGCACGGCTTCATTTCTGAGGGTGGGACAGATACCATCAGCACTTCTAAAGCTAATAATCCTTGTAAAGATGCAAACAGGGCTGATCTATCCACTTAGGTAGTGAAGCTGTAAAATGACTTGAATAGTTGTCATTCTCAGATAGCATCGGCATTCAGCGGGGCCATTTCCCTGCCTGTGCCTTTGGAAATGCCTCTCAATACATATGCAAATGCAGAGCTTATCAGGCCCCTTTTTTTGACTGACAGTAAGAAGTCTGGGAGAGGGGGGGCTTGCCTGGGACCCAAGGCAATTCTGCTGAGCCTGTGACAATGTGGAAGAGCAGGGGACAAGGAAGGACTGGAGAGAGCCCAGCGCAGAGCCACTGGGATGATGAGGGACTGGAGCATCTCCCACACTAGGAAAGGCTGAGAGAGCTGGGGCTGTTCAGCTGGAGAAGAGGAGACTGAGGGGATCTCATCAATGCTCATCAATATCTCAAGGGTGAGGGTCAGGAGGATGGGACCAGACTCTGCTGGGTTGTGCCCAGCGACAGAACGAGGGGCAGTGGTCACAAACTGGAACACAGGACGTGCAACCCAAACATGAGGAAAAACTTCTTGATGTGAGGGTGGCAGAGCATGGCGCAGGCTGCCCAGAGAGGTTGTGGAGTCTCCTTCTCTGGAGACACCCAAAGCCCTGGCCGTGTTCCTGGGTGATCTCCTCTGGTGACTCTGCTGTGGCAGGGGTTGCACTGGATGAGCTCCAGAGACCCCTTCTCACCCCACCATGCTGTGATTTTGTGTCTTTAAAACACCTGCTCTGTAATCAGTGGATAGATCGGAAATGACCCATCCAGCTGAGCTGGTATGGCAATGACCAACCCTTGTGTGCTTTCTTCCAGAGGATGGAGGGGGATCTGAAATGGATGCGGGGCAGGATTTAGCATCTATAGTAAGACAACAGCAGAAGCCTTGGCCAACTGGTGTGGGCAAGGCATGGTGAGCTGTTTGCTAGGGTGGAAAAGCGGTAGAGTCCTGAAATGTGCTGCCCCTGCCAGAGGTATCAGTGGGCTTCGTGTGGTGCTCTGCTTTTCTAGGTGTTGGGCAGGACAGCTTCACTTGGTTAAGTGCTTTTCTAAAGGAGTCAAGAGGAGGGAGGTATGGAGGTAGGGAGGTAGCTTTTTAACGAAAACTTAGCGAGCACAGGTGGATTAAATATTTCTCATTTTCTCTTTGGCAGGGGGAAACAAGGGCTTAATTTATTGGCCTCATTGACCCACCCCGATGTGAGGTGATGAACTCTAGTTTTGTCATGTGAATTCAGTGTAAATGATACAAGTTTAAAAACCAAAAAAAACCCCAGACCAACCTGCGATTCACCTTCCCTTCACTTTTCTGAAGCCTGTTTACTTTTATAAACTAGCTTTTTGGGAGCTGCTTCCTGCGACCTGATGATTAATTATCCACTCATGGAGGTTAAGGTAATAACTGATGGTGTGAAAATGGCTATTGTTAGATCACACATGTAAGCTTATGCAGCTCTGGATATTCTGGCATTTTCATTTTCCCTGCATGAGCTGGGACCTGGGCTGCAGGACAGGGCCATCTCCAATCTACGTAATGGGAACTGCCCAGTTGTATCTGTGTTGGGTGATTTGCCACGGTTCCCATAAATCTACCCACAGATCTTGCTCAGAAATGGAGGCACAGTCTCTGTGTTGTGCTTGTGAGTGCTTTGCCTTTCCTTTGTATGCATGTTGGGAGTCTCTGAGTGTTCATATCTTTCTGCCCCTCCAGCTTTAGGCAGCCCCGTTGGAGCCGTGGCCATTGCTATGGCTTGGTTTCTACCAGAATTAAGTTGCTGGAAAAAACCTTGAATTTTTTTTAAAAAAGACAGTTGAGTTGGGTGAGATTAACCTGATCTGGAAGTAAGAAAAAGCCTTCAGGTACCATGGGATATGTCCCTGGACTGTTGAGGTGTGGGGGAACACTGGGAGGAGTGACTGGAAGCTGCCTGAGGCCAGGGCTTCCACTGGTTTTAGCCTTATCTGGATCTGCCTGGGACAACTGTTTATCCGTCTGCAAGCCTGGAGGCACACAGCCTTGGTGATGTGCCTGGGACAAAACCCTCTGCATGCAGGCAAAGCTTTCAGGCTTTAATTTCCAACCCTCCATCAACTCAATGTTAGAACTTCACCTTCCTCTGAAGCTGTTTGCTCTGGCTTCCCAAAATGGGCATTTGCTTTATTCCAGTTGGGTAAAATGTTAATGCATTTCTTTAGCAACATGAGTAGTTGCTTTGTTTTGTTTTGTTTTTAATTATTAAAAGCATCAACACTTAAAAAGTGGTCTGAGAGGCCCAGAAGAAAGCCATGGGTATGGCAGATAGCCCATAGTAGCAGAGACATTAATCGGTGGCCTCCTGCTGTTGTCTGCTCCAGTGGAAAAAGAATGGTCTCTGGTGGGTCAGGGGGTGGGAAAAGCTCTGCTTCTATTGATTCCCACTTGTAAATGTCCACATATTTACCTAGAGGGGACGATATATTACAGTTAAAATGGTGGCAGAGAGAAATGGCTGTTCCCCGTGGGTTGGTATTGATCAGGCAAGCAGCTACGCTGTACTTATTTCTCCTCTTCTTCACACACCCTTTAGGCCAAAGTCCTTTGTTTTTATTAGCGTATTTATAATCAATATACATATTATTTACTGTGACGTATTAACGAGGCCTTTGAGATGAGAAGATGCAGGGGCAGAAGCGACGGGTGAGGTTCATCCCGTTTAACTTGAGATATCTCCGATATAGACTTTACCATC